GGCTGGGGGTGTAAAGGGGGGGCGGCTGGGGTAAAGGGGGGTGCGGGTGTAAAGGTGGGCTGGGGGTGAAAAGGGGTGGGGGGGGGTTAAGGGGGGTTTTTGAAAAGGTTGGGCCCCCCGGGGTTTGTAAAGGGGGGCGGGTTTGAAACAGGTTGAGGACCCGCTACAGGGGGTCAATTGGCCCTAATAAATATATCCGGGAAATTATATACCCCGTCCCCCCAAGGGGGGAAAAATTGGGCCCCTTTACTTTTTGTGTCTTTTTAAATTTTTTTTCCCCCAAGATTCTCTTTTTTCCCTTTTTCTTACTTTTTAAACCGGGTCATAAACTCTGGTTGTTCATCCACTTCGGATTTTGGGTTTAAGTCCCCGGGCCCTTCAGTTTTGCATGTTTATCCTTTTTAATAGATCCAGCTTATTTTTTTTCCCACTGTTGGTTCCTTGTCTTCAGGGAAAAATCATCTGACTTTGAAGCTAACCTTCCCCTTTTTTTAAAACCACTGGGGGTGTATTGGGTTTTCCCCCCCACCCCCCTCCTCAAAACCCGGACCCGGGGAAAAACCCAAAAAGTGGGGGGGACCTTCCCCGGACGGAAACGACGGGACCAAAAAAATCAAAAAAACGAAACTAGGGGGAGCCCAAACAGAGGGCGGGGGGGGGCCTGGGGGGGGGGGCTGGGTGGTGCTGCTGCGGTTTTGGTTCCTCTTGCGCGGCCATTTCCCCACACCATTGTTGCCCAACAAAATTCTTTTTTTTTTGGTTATTTCTGAGGATTCAACTTTCCAGGTCTAAACCCCAAACCCCCAAGGCAAGCAAAAGGGAAAAAACCAGAAGCAGAGGATGAGAAAACAAACAAAAATGAAACAAAAATTAAGGTTTTGGGGGTTACAAATAATGTTCTATTGGGGGGAGTGGAAAGGGGTAGGGGGGGGGATGGAGAAAAAAAGGAAATCTCATCATCAGGTCCCCTTGCCGACGGGCTGGGGGGATCAGCCTCCCCCTAATCCGCTTTTCCCCGGGAAAGCATGTAAATTCGTTTTGCCAAAAAATTTATCCCAATGCAAAAAGGGCCCTGTAAAAGGCATCTTCTCTCGTTGTTTCCTCCCCTCCTTCCACAGATCTTTAAATGGTCAAAAACATTTTTCTTTTTTCCCTTTTTCCCCATAACATGGCCAAAAAAAGGGAGGACGGTTCCTTCGGATTTTCAGGGGGGGAATTAATTTGCCCTTTCGGTCTCCCCCTTTTTTTAAAAACCTTTTGGTTGTTTTTTTTTGGTGCCCCAAGGAAATTCAAAGCTTTTTTGTAAAAAACATCTTAGGCCTCAAAAAATTGTTTCCCCTGCCTCCCCGTTTTGTCCGGGATTCCCATCCATATGTTAAAAGGTTTGTTGTACCCAAGCAAAAATTCTTTTTCAAAACTTAAAATGAAAAGGGATTTTTGCACAAGTTTTTTTTCATTTTAAAAAATGCATTTTTTTGCTTGCCCCAAATTTTGTTTTTTATTTCATTTATGCATTTTCCTCTGATGTACCCAATGTGCCCAAAAATATTAAATTTCTTTTAGTTTAAAAATAACCCCTTTGACTTTTATTACACTTGGGAAACCTAGGAGGAAAAAAGGGAAAAAAAAAAAAAAGGGAAAAAAGGGAAGGATAAGGCAATGAAACCCAGGTTCTATTAAAACAAAACAAAAAGGAGAGGATAAGAGCAATCCCAGGGAAGGTTCTATTTAAAAAGGGACAAAGGGGAAAAAGAGGTTTAGAAAATTTGCACGCCGGGTTTCTATTATAACAAAGAAAAAAGAGGAGAGGAAAAGAGCAGCCCCCGGGTTTCTATTAAAAACAAAGAAAAAGAGGAGGGGTAAGAGCAATGAAAACCCGGGTTTTCTATTAAAACAAAGAAAAAAGAGGAGAGGATAAGAGCAATGCACCCAAGGTTTTTTTTAAAAAACAAAGCCCAAAGGGAGGGGGAAAAGGGGCAATGCCCCCCCAAGGTTCTATTATCCAAAAAGGGAAAAAAAGAGGAGAGGAAAAAGAGCAATGCAGCCAGGTTCTTTTATAAAAACGAAAAAAGGAGGGGAAAAGAGCAATGCCCCCCAAATTTTCTATTATAACAAAGAAAAAACGAGGAGAGGATAAAAAGAAATGCAGCCCGGTTCTATTATAAAAAAATTTCAAAGTAGAAATTTCCCTCACAAGGTCAGAAAAGGGGCAACACAGAGGAAATTTCATTTTAAATGCCCAAAAAATTTAAAAGGACAAAAAAATTTTTAAAAAGGGGCCATATCCAAAATAAACAAAAAGTTAAAATTTAAAAACATATATCTAATATAAAATTCCCTACCCCAACTATTTCATTTTAAAACGGGGAAAATTTTAAAATTAAATCTGGGAAAATTTTTTTTAAAATCAATTTGGATAAATTTTTAAAACCCCACCTGGGAAATTTTTTTAAAAATAAAAGTGGACTTTTTAAAAAATTTTCCCGGGAACTTTTTTTCAAATAAAACCGGAAAATTTTTTAAAACCCCACTAAAGAAGTTTAAAATTGTCCATTTTTGTTTTTGAAAAGTTTTCCATTTTAAATTTAAAAATGGTTTTAAAAGGAAAAATTTTAAAACCACTAAATAAAGGATATTGTGAATGCCCAATTCCCAAATGGCACAGGAAAAGGCCCCTATGCAACACCATGACCTAAATTTTTAAATTTTCCCGAGGGGAAACTGTGCCCTAAACTTTTCAACCCCCCCCCTCCCTTCTTTCTTTTCCCCCTTTTTCTCTATCCCTTCTCTCCTCTCTCTCTCCCCTCTCTCTCTCTCTCCCCTTCTTCTCTCTTTAATTTTATAATATTTTAATTTTATTTATATTATATATATATAAAATATATATATATATATAATATATATTTTCCATGAAAGCGCCTTTAACTTTTTCATAAAAAATTCCAAAAAACAAACGGGAAAAAAAAAAACATGCTTATGATAGGTTTTGGTCATCCCATAAACTGTTTAAGGGTTTGTTGGCGGGTTTTTGAAAAAGGGAAAAGTTTTGCCCAAGGAAAGAAAAGGAAATAAAAACAAAAAAATTAAAAATAAATTTGTAAATTTTTTTGGTGCCAAATGCTGACCTTTTAAAAAACCCTTTGTTAGAGGGCAGTAATATTCTCCCCCCCCCCCCCCCCCCCCCCCCAAAAAATTTTCTTCTCATTCATCCAAAGAGTCATGTGTTGTGCCTTTTTTAAAACATGGGCTGCGATAGCGCCCCTTTTTCGGGACAAATTTACTTCTGTGGCCCTTTATTGGGCCTAGTTTGATTTTTTCCGGTCCTTTTAAAATAACCCCCCCAAAGAACCCCCCAAAGGGAAGCCCCCCTTGACCCTTATTTTATTACTTAGCGCCCCTTTCTACCTAGGATTTAAAGCGGTTTGCCAGGAGTCCCCCCTTTCTCTATCGCCGTTTTTTTTTTGGTTTTTTTTCCTGTGGGGGACTTTCGTTTTTGTCTTTCCGGGACCCTGGGTCACTCCAAAGGGTTTGGGTTTCCCTTGGTCTTCCGCCCCATCCCGCAGGGGGCCGGGTTTTTCCCCCCTTTGTGCTCCCTGCCCCAAAAATACCGAAACCCCTTTAAACCCAGTTTTCTTACACCGGGGTTTTAAAGTTTTCCCCCTATTGTTGTTGTAAATTTTTTGTTTTTTTTTTTTTTGCCCCTTTGGGACCACCTTTCTAAAATTTTTCTCTTTTTCCGGGGTTCTAAACGGCGGGTTTTTGGCGGCACCCTCCGGTAAGAAATAATTACTCCTATATGGGGAGGTGCTAAATTCTTTTTAAAAACCAGCAGGTGCCCCCCTCCAAAAAAAAAAAATTTTTAAACATCACCCACAATGCCCCGATAAAAAGCTGGACCCAATTCCCTTTCGGCAGTTCCCTGTGCCCGTTTTCCCCCCGGCCTTTTTGATGGGAAAGTATCTGGATTTTTTTTTATGGTTCTGTAAGCTGCGCCATCAAAAATGAAAAGTATTAAAAAAAAATAGAAAATACAGGGGAATTAAGGGGGGTTGTTGCTTGGGGTTTTTTACATATGAAAGTTTTTGAAAATTCCCCCCCCCCCCCCCCACACCCACAAACGAGCCCCTTTTATTTAACTAAATAAAAAAGGCCCTTTTTCCCTTTCACTCGGCCCATTGGGCATTAAAAGGCTGACCTTTTATTTTTAGACCAATTT